GGCCTAGGAATTGGGACCGTTGCTGTGTGGAGGGTGTGCTAAGCTGGCATATCAGAAAAGGGATTGTGGGTTGCTGTGATGGCCTCTGTGGGGTATGTCACAGCACACTGCCTCTTACTGCAAGAGCTTCTCTCTTATTTGTTCTGTTAACCATGATGGAAATACTATTAAGTTGCTCATTTTTGCTTGGCTGTATCAAATACTGTGTTGGCAGCATGTTATTAAAGTAATTCAGTTTGCAAAAGTCAGTGGCAATTGATTTTGTCCTAAAGTTGAGAGCACAATATGAACTGCAAGAAAACTAAGCAGCAGCAATGCTGATCTTGGCTCTAAGGCAGCAGCTTTGGCCTCTGCCCATCCTGCACAATCAAAGGCATCCGATGCAGAAGCAAAACCGTCTGTGCCATATGTGGTCTGGATTAGTAAATTTTTATGATTGTCCAAACACCTTGGGGAGGAAGAGATGATATTCCTGCCTGCTGCCTGTGGTTCTGCTGCCTTCAGACAGAGTTATTTGTGTGAAGCAGCCCAAGCAGAAGCTCTTCACCCCAGCAGGGACAGTAAAAGACCTTAAGGAACACTACAGGTTTGCATATGCTAAAATACATTCATGTTCAGTCCTGGAAGAAAGCTGTGTTTTTTCTTTTTCATTTTATATACCAAAATGATACGGAAAATCATGCTGGTAGAGCTTTTACCAACCCCCACTTTCCTGTCAGCTGGCTGCAGGTAGATCTGCCTCAACAAGTCCCAGTCCAACTTTCCTTTGGGTTCTTATTTTATCCCTAGGGAGCACCTAGGACTTTTGGGAAGTTGTAGGCTTACCCCTGCTAGGCTCATTCTCATCCAGGGTTAATCTCAAATTTGCTGTCCTTGTTGTGGAAGGGAGAATTTTTCGGGGGGGGGGGGGGGCAGAAGGCTACAAGAGAATTGTCCATCTCGTGCCCTCCCCAGCACCCCCTGCTCCCAGCATCCCGGTGGGAGCCCACACCAGAGCAGTGCTGCCCGAGACTGAAGGAAAACTTTCCAAAGCGGCTGCCAGGGCGTCCAGGAACTGTCTGAGGGTGGAGCCGGGAGAGAGAACATCCCTGTCCATGACGGGGGCGGAGAGAAAGTACTTGCAGCGTCCGGGCTGGGTCTCCCGCCTTGTTAGTTTCGTTTCTCGGAGCCTGGGTTAGGCGCCATCGCTGCAGCCATGGAAAAAGCTGGTGCAGAATTTGAAGGGGGTGCCAGCCTGGAGGCCGAACTCATGTGTTCCATCTGCCTGTGCCTGTACAAGGACCCAGTGTCGCTGAGCTGCAGTCACAGCTTCTGCCAGCAGTGCATCCAGAAGGTGCTCACAGCCCAGCAACAATCGCAGACTCCTTTAACCTGCCCCATGTGCAGGCTCCACCTGGGGCCCAACCTGGAGCTGCAGAAGAATTTCCACCTGTGCAACATCGTGAAGGCATTTCAGGCCAAGAGTTCAGAAGAAAAACAGGGCAAGGGCTCTGAAGAGGGGGAGACAGAGGTGTTCCCCTGTGAGTACTGCCTGGGTGAGACCCAGCCAGCGGTGAAAACCTGCCTGGTCTGCGATGCGTCCTTGTGCCAGGCCCACCTGAACAAACACAACTCCAAGGCTTCCTACCAGGACCACATCCTGGTGGAGGTGGGAGCAGGCGGTGTGGTGGAGGAGAGGAGGTGCCCGGAGCACGGCAGGATGCTGGAATGCTACTGCAGCCGTGAGGAGCAGTACATCTGCCTGCTCTGCGCCATTAGGGGGGCCCACGTGAACCACGAGGTCCTCACCCTGAAGGAGGGACATGACAAGCAGCTGGTAAGGAGCTCTTCTCTCCCCACGGCTCCTACGGGGTTTGGTCCGACCCCCTGAGCTGGAGGAAGGGAGGAAGCCACAGGAGGGGCAGTGAGGCTTTCACCAGGGAATGGGGATTGGGGCGGGGAGTGGGGGCAGGCAGGCAGCAGCTCCAGGGATTTCATATCTGCCCCAGTGGGGACTGGTGCATTGTGCTGGAGTTTGCTTTTCTTTTCCTCATTTGTGTTGCCAGAGCAGCCTGGCTGGCTAAGCGGAGGGAGAAGAGCAGAGAAAGGTGTTTGGGGCTGCCCGGGACAAGGCTGGGTAAATCCCTCAGGGTGTGCTGAAATGGGAGAGTGAGTGAGAGGCAGCCCAGGGCCCCGCTGTCCCACATGCTGAGGTGCAGCCCCAGGGAACTGCCAGCCCCTCACTGGGGTGTTCCTGGCTGAGATTAAGAAGTATTCCTTCAGGGATTGGAAAATCTCTTCCTCACAGAGCCTCGGGGATGCCACTATTACTGACCTTTGGGTGGGGAAACAGGTTTTCCCACTTGAGGCCCTTCCCTTGAGCTCCCTCCTTGTAGCATGGTGGGAGTTGGGCTCTGCTCCCAGGGAACAAGGGACAGGATGAGAGGACACAGTCTCAGGCTGTGCCAGGGGAGATTCGGGTTGGACATTAGGAGGAATTTCTTCACAGAAAGGGCGATTAAACATTGGAAAGGGCTGCCCAGGGAGGTGGTGGAGTCCCCATTCCTGGAGGTGTTCAAGAAATGACTGGATGTGGCACTCAGTGCTCTGGTCTGGTTGACAAGGTGGGGATGGGTCACAGGTTGAATTTGATGATCTCAGAGATCTTTTCCAACCTAATTGATTCTGTGATTTTGCAGTTCCTCCCTCTGCCATAAATTTTGCTGAGCCAATGGCCCAGCAGATACAGAGACATGGGGCTCCACGTTCCTGCTTCTGAGTCCAGCTGCTGTCCTTGAAATGCTCCAGAATCAGCTGAGACTGAGGGGATAAAATGCATTTGCTATGCTCAATGCCTTGCATTTGAAATTTCTGGGCTCAATTTAGAGCCAAGGAAAAGACCATGCAGGAACCCAGTGGCTGGGCAGGAAATGCCTGGCTTACTCTGAACTTCAGGACAGGTCACAGCCTCCTCAGGAATTAGCAGGAAGCATCCTTTGCAGTTATCAGAAATCTCCTCCCTCACATTACATATAAAAAATTCAGAGCTGCCAAGCACAAGTGGGTTGTGTGAGACAGTGGCCGTTTCCTTCATCCCTGGAGCTGGTAAAGGAGCAACACTGCCCTGTCTAGAGGGGAGCCATCCCTGTGGGTAAACAGATCTCTGCTGCATATTCCTCTTGGGTGGTTATTTTTAAAACTCCCCAGGATAGCCAGTGAAATCGGGAATGCAGCTCTTCAGGAGGAACTGTAAAAGGGTTTTGGTGAGAAGAACCTTGATCAAATTCGATTGTTTGTCTTTTAATGTTTCAAAAATTAAAACTTCTGTGACAACTATCTCATGGAAAATCTAAAATTTCTGGCATGATTTTTATAAAAAAAATGGAAGTCTGGGAGGTGTGTCTGTCATGGCCATTTATGGGTGCTCAAAGTGTGAAAACACTGCTGGAAGCAACCAAAGCCATTCAGAGGCTGTCTAATCCCCAAAGAACAAGGTTTACTGTCTCCTCTGAACTGTGCTATTGTGCAGTTCCACAGCACTCAATGATCATAGTATCCCTTAGAATAAACAACAGGATGAGTAAATACTGCTGTTTTGCTGATTTTCAGAAAAGATAATTGCTTATTGCCTTATCCTCAGATCCCACAGCTGCTGACATGAAAACTAAGGATTTGGACCACATTAAGGCACATGTGAAGATTCTGTGAAGCTTTAACAGATGAAGTGAGATTTATTGATTTAAAATGAAATTTACTTACTCAAAGGGGAAGTTATTAATTAACCTACCACAAAGTCACACATATATGAAAAATTTAAACAGTTTTCTGTTATGCCCCATCTTTATGAGGAGGCAAGTGAACACAGTTTATTATAGGACTCACTGGTGAAAGAGGGCAGGCAGAAGGCACCTGTGCCATTTCAGCTCCACAAACTGCCAGTCTGGTTTAAAGCTGTCCCTGCTATGAAGTTCAATGCTGTCCTTCCTTCTGCTAGACTAAACTCCTGAACAAGATGACATGGCTGCAGCAATATGGAAGAGCCTTAGTTACCGCCCTGGAAGATCTTCAGAAAAGCGAGAATCAGGTCAAGGTTGGTACCCAGATCATTGCTAATTCAGAGCATCTTTCCTTCACAGTTTGCCACAGTAAGTGATGGCAACTATGCTGTTAAAAGCAGATGAATAGAAAGTGATATAGTCCAAACCAGGGAAAACAGTGGTGTAAGAAACTGCCAGAAGCCAGGCTTTCTCACAGCCTCCCAGCATAGCTCCACAGGAGGAACCAGCTGGGGGATTCCACCTTTTATTGTAGTTGCACAGGTTACAGGACTGGCAGACCACAGATTGTATATATCATTATATATTTTTAAAGATTTCTACCCATTAAAAAAAAGAAAAATAATTTGCATCTACAGGTGGGGTTTTCAGTGTGTACAGATACAGTTCTCACATTGGTAGCTGAATTTTATCTGATTTTGTTACTATATCAGGATGAATTTTCATAAGCCTCTGCTTAATCAGATATTCTAAGCAAATGCTTATTGTCTGCTTCCTTCTAAAGGCAGTGCAAAGGATAGATACAATCCAAATTGATAAAGAGAGGCACTAAGCGGAAGTGTGGGGTTCCTGAGCTAATGCCCCATTTTCTTAATCTCTTCATTTAGACCAATACAAAGACAGTGACTTCTCAGATACAAAAGCTGTTCGACGAGATAAAGACAGAGTTGATTAAGAAAGAGAAGATGATCCTGAGTGACATTCAATCGAATGAGAAAAAACAACTGGCATACATTGACTACTTGAAGAAGAATATGGAACATAGGAGAGAGGAGGTTGAGCAGAATCTTCAGCTTTTGCAGAAGCTGAGAGAGCAACAAGATATTTTCCTCTTCTTCAAGGTAAGCAGTGAGATTCCATTTTTCTTCATGGATATGCCTATTTCTCAGCCAGCTGCCCTTTCTGATAATCACACTAACAATTTTTTTCCTTTTGTTTTTTTTTTTTTGGCAATCCTCTTTGTAGGAATTTCATGTAAGAATACCGGCCACAGACAGGTATGTTCCACCTGCAAACACTCGTTTTCTTCTTGGAAAAAATATGGTGTTGATAACTGGAATCAGACCCCAGTGCCTGTGCCCCTCAGTGCTGCCACCCTGTGCTGCCAAGCTGCTCCCTATTCCAGCGAGACAGAGGGCACCACATCCACACAATTAACAAGGATGGAGAGATACCTGCCTGCTGTTCCAGTGGTCCCTTTAAATTTCGGTTTCCTTGCTGGATTCTGATGAAAACCATCCGCATTTAATGCCAGAAAAATGTTTGTATCTGAGATGAAGCCCAGAGGGTTCAGTTTACAGCAGCGCTCTCTTGGATGGGCATTGGTGACCCTCCTTCAGCTGAGTCCCAGTGAACAGCCTTTGGCTGCAGAGGTAACTGGCTCATTTCCAGCAAAGTTTTTGGTTTGTGGACAAGCTTAGTAGCTGGAAAGATTAATTATTGCTTCTCTTGCAAGTGGTACGTTTAATTTATAACTTATCACTTCCTAAGTGAGTCCTGGGTGTCAGCTGTAATTCGGTGGTGCAAATCCACAGCGACAGTAAGTTAGAGATCCACAGGAGGCTTTGCAGCAGCACTGAAGGCCCCAGCTGCATGAAGGGCTGGCTCCAACATCTACCTGGATGTTAAGATGTCATCTCTGTGACTTGTACAGATCAAAGCTGAGTTTGAACTTGGATTTGAATCGT